GATGTGCCCCGATCCTTATGACTATTGGCTGTCTGTGTTTAGCACCCTTTCACAGATATAAACGTTAAATGTGATCCTCGTGCTCTAACGGCTGTCGTTGGGATGATGCCTGAAAACATCACTCTGCCAAAATACTCTTCACTTCTGTTGCCTTTGCTTCACTCATTGCAAGGCGCCCTATGCTTTGAAGATGAAGCAGGAAGCTCCTCCCACACGTGAACAGTGGCGTGCAGAGCTCGTCAGGTTTTTGCATTTGGCAAAGATGAGATGTACACTGGCAGGTTCCTTCTCAGGACCGGATAATATCTCTATATCACCATCATAGTTAACTGTACACTGAATGTCCCTTATGCATTTAAATATTTGTGTTTGTTGTTTGTTTGTTTTCCTTCTTTCTGTTGTCTTTTGGGGGTGTTGTAAATACTGAACAGCAAAGTACTGCATGTTTGAAGTGTTGCTGTTAGCTGCTGTGACTGAAAATAAAAGAAGAAGCAGAGCTGGTCGCGCTGCACAGCTGTGCAGGTGCTGTAACCGTGTCCGTGTGTCCACAGCCTGCTCCTGCCTGGACCACCTTCAGAGTCGGCCTTTACTGCGGAGTCTTCCTCGTCTTATTGGTCGTTGTGGTCATCACAGGTAAAACACAGTGACCTTTGTAACACTGAAGTGTCTCGTTTATACTTCCTGGAATCTGACTGTGTTTGTGGACAGGCCAGAAATATGTAAGTGTTATTCTGGTCGTCATGGGACGCGCGTGTCACAGGTGCTGTTTTAACCCAGACAAGTTTCAGACGGCTTTACAGTTTTTTCTGATTGCTTAAGCACATTTATTGTAACTATTGGCTAATTTTGCAAAACTCTTCACACAAATAAGAAAACCTGTCACCCAATAATCAAAACATTGTAGTTCTCTTGCAAAAGCAAACACAGCTAGATTAACTCTTCACACCTTCGTAAAAATGGCGTTTCCGTATCAAACAGTACACACAAGCCATCATCTACTAAGCACACAATGCGCCAACTGCACACTGATGGTATGAATACAAAACACATCTGGCTTTTGCTTTCTCTGTGCACAAGGTAGGCTATGTCAGTGTGAGCTCATACTTCTGTCATAGATCCATAAGCATAGAGGGATCCAAACTTCAAGTACTGGTGTTTATTCAACACATCAAAACAAACACAAGTGTTCATTTCCAAGTATAGGATTATTTGCAATCGCCATAATGACTATATGGGTTACTTGGTCTGCAGTGAACATGCTTCCTCTGCCCCCAGCATCTGGTCATCTAGCAATTCTGTAAAGTAACAATTTCAGTATTTTTACATCAATGGTATTGGTGTGTTTCTCATTGGCATATGGCAGTGCTACAAATCTTTGTGCGAAGTGACTGTACTCACCGATTCTCATTTCAAGATGTCCTTATGGTGCTTGCTACAGTGTAGCGGCTCGAGTTAGGCTGGACCCGTTGGCCAGCTACCCTCAGGGTCATTCCACGGTTGATGACATGGTCCACTATTGTAGCTCTGATGTCATCAGCAATTCTATTTCTTACTCTTCCTACCCTTCCTCCCCCCCTCCTCATCTTCCTCTCCCCCCTCCTCATCTTCCTCTCCCCCCTCCTCGTCTTCCTCTTGCTCCTCCTTGTCCTTGTCGTCCTCTTCATCCTACTTCTTCACCTCCACGTCCTCTTCCTCGGCCTCCTGTACTTCTCATTCTTTCTGCTCCCTCCATTGTACTCCGCACACACAGCTTACCTGTATTATAGTGCTTAGGCTGACTGCAAAGTGAACTAATTATCTAAAAAAGTTTTCACATGTGAAAGTGTGCCAGACAGTTGGCAGATTAGTGTTAATGATAGCCATACATGTGTATACTTTTGCTAGGAGTGTGTTGGAAATTTGGTAATTGAGTGTTGTGCAGTGAATTGTGCCTACAGTTTTGCAAAGTGTGTGTTACAAAATTGCAAACTGAGTGCAAAGCAGTTTTTGTGCTTTTAGTTTTGCAAACTCAGTGAGTGGTTTTGCTATAAGTCTGAATAGTTTTAGAGATTGTGCTACAGGAATCACAGTTAGGGTTTAAGCAATCAGAAAAAACTGTAATGCTTTGGCTCAGGGCTGTCACACTGTGGGCCACAAACAGCCCACGGACCAGTGACGCGCCCCCTACTGTCAGTGTGAAGACGTCACATATTGAACTGTTTTTCTACACGATAAAGAAAGAAACCTGTCAGCACGACTCTTTGGATTTAACTGACATACCCGTCCAGTTTTTGTCTCCTATAGTAGAAAGTCCAGAGTCCATTATTATTATTATTATTATTATTTCTATAACAATAATAATAATAATACTTTATTACGCCACAGGAAAAAGGAGACTTTTGTGAGAGAAGGGAGAAATAAATGATTCTGGAATATCAGCATCCTGGTGGGAGGTGAGAAAGATGGAGCAAGCGTGACAGCACTACAGCGGTCTGTAAAGTTAGTGTTACTACAGTCGTATTATTAAGGCATCAGGTGAGAATGAAGAGAGAGACTAAAGTATACACCACAGTAACTCACCAGTAATACATTTCTGTGAATGTGAGGAACAGTAGTGTGTAAAGTTGTGGAGGGAAAGACCAGTGTTGTTTATGCAGCACCCTAACAGGCGCCTCAGGGTGCTGCACATTGTAAGGTAGACCCCACAATGACACATGCAGAGAAAACCCAACAGTCATGTGACGAGTGACAGTGGAAGGAAACCTGCAGTAGGACCAGGCTCAGGCTCCTTCCTGCTGACATCAGAAACAAAGATTTCATGATTTCCACAGGAACAGGCAGGAGGTCGTAATTATGAGTGAGCAGCACACTTCCACCTCTGATAAGCATCTTAAATCTGCACAACAACGGGAGCAGAAGAAGGACGAGCAGAGAGATGATTGGCCTTTCTTTGTATTCACTTGTGTTGTTGTGATTGTTTAGTTGTGTTTTGGGGGTTTTAGGGTGACTTGTAACAGTATCCACAGGAAACAAATGACTGACGTGCCGTCCCATCCTCCAGTAGAACCATCATGAATGTTGGTTTCCACTTGTTGTTGTGCAGATAAACAAAAGTCTGTTTGCAGACATGCTGCAGACTCCTCACATCAGGCACTTTGTTTTTGCTCTGTGCAGTTTTGCTCGGTATTGATGGTGCTGTCTCCTGATTGGTCTTTGTCATTAGTAGCTGTGGGGACAGATCGTTCTGATGTTTGGCCTATGGTCCGAATCTACAGAGGAGGCTTCCTGTTAATAGAATTCCTCTTCCTGTTAGGTATGGACACACAGACACTCTCACACTGTAGCTTATGTGCCAAGTTTGGAGTCGAGTTAGTCATCAACTCATATCAGAGACAGGAAGTTAAAAAAACAACTCTTTTGTCTTGTAGGCATCAACACTTACGGCTGGAGGCAAGCAGGCGTCAACCATGTGCTCATATTTGAACTGAACCCCAGAAACAACCTGTCCCATCAGCATCTGTTTGAGGTCAGAGGTCAGATTGAACCAAAGAAAGAAGTCGTGTTCTCATAGAGATGATTTAACGATCTGTGGGCCGTGGCCCCCTCCACGGGGAGAGGATGCTGACTGAGTCATTGTGTGTGCAGATTGCAGGTCTGCTGGGGGTGCTGTGGTGCGTAAGCCTGCTGTCCTGTCTCTTCAGCGACAAGATCCTGGTGCCGATGCAGGCCAACCCTCTGGCTCTCTATGGGCTCTTCTTCCTTTTCCTCATCAACCCCTTCAAGACCTGCTACTACAAGTCACGCTTCTGGCTGCTCAAACTTCTGGTAATGGCCCTGACCAGAGTCTTTACATCATACCTTTTGTGTGGTTAAGCTTTTATTCTGAAGAGGGCTCTTCCTGTGACGTCTTCCTCCGCAGTTTCGAGTGGTGACGGCTCCGTTTCACCGCGTTGGCTTTGCAGACTTCTGGCTGGCTGACCAGCTCAACTCTCTGGTGGTGGTGCTGATGGACCTGGAGTACATGATCTGTTTCTACAGCTTTGAGCTGGACTGGACCAAACACAACGGGCTCATCAGCAGAGGTGAGGCTCCGAGATGCTCGCTGCTCACGCGCACGTGTCGGAGCAAACCGGTGGCTAAATGTCGTCCTCTTCAGGTAACGATGTGTGCAACTCGTACTCGTATGGCGTTCGGGCGGTGATCAAGTGTCTTCCTGCGTGGTTCCGATTCGTCCAGTGTCTGCGCCGTTACCGTGACACCAAGCGGGCCTTCCCTCATCTGGTTAATGCTGGCAAATATTCCACCACCTTCTTCGCTGTTACCTTCTCCGCCCTCTACAGCACACACAAAGGTAGGCTGACAGATGCCGTGTTATAAGGCAATGCCATCCTGAGCTCATTCTCTCCTCTGTGTTGTTATTATGGGATGGAGCTCTAATGGCAGGCTGTAACTGGAGAACACTCTGATGTCCCGCCCACAGACGCAGGCTCGGAGGCCCAGATCTTCTTCTATCTGTATATTGGCTGTTTGGCGCTGAGCTCGTGTTACACTCTGGTCTGGGATCTGAAGATGGACTGGGGACTGTTTGACCGCAACGCTGGAGAGAACACCTTCCTGAGAGAGGAGATAGTCTATCCACACAAGGTATTACACCACACAAAGAAGCTGCAGCTCCTCCTGTGGCCACTTTACAAAAGTCGGTGTCCAAATGTCAGGACTTCAGGCTGAACTAAGCAGGCTTGCTGCTGCTAACCCTGTCATCCACAAATCAACAGCAGCACGTGTTGTTATGTAGTCACACAGCATGAATGTGAAGCGCGTGCTCTGTTGTGCGTCCTCCTGCAGGCCTATTACTACAGCGCCATAGTAGAGGACGTGCTGTTACGCTTCGGATGGATCTTAACGGTCACCGTCACCACGCTCGTCACGTTTGACGGCATCTCTGACATCTTTGCTACAGTCCTGGCCCCGCTGGAGGTCTTTCGGTACACAGAGTCTTTTTTCTTTATTCATCCCTTTGGTTTTTCTCATAGTTCATTCCTAACTTTGTGTATCTGCAGGGCCTAGATCAGGAAGTGATAAAGTAACAGAAACTCAGTAACGGGTTAATGTGTGATCCTTGTAGGCGCTTTGTGTGGAACTTCTTCCGCTTGGAGAACGAACATCTGAACAACTGTGGTGAATTCAGAGCCGTCAGAGACATCAGCGTGGCTCCGCTCAACGCCGACGACCAGACCCTCCTGGAGCAGATGATGGACCAGGAGGATGGCGTGAGAAACCGACAGGGCAAGAAGAGCTGGAAGAGGAGCTACAGTATGAGCCTGCGCAGGCCACGCCTGGCCTCGCAGTAAGTCTTTTCCCCGTCTGTCTGTCCTGCTGAGTGCAGGCGTGGGCCCCTCAGTCACGGCAGAGGAGACGCATGTTTCATCAGCGTGCACAGAAGGCCGTCGACCCCACGTAGAACAATGTAGCTTCATGCAAAACAGAGAAACTGCAACGTCATTTATTATAGATACAGTCAGCGCAGTGATCTGTGGGGGGGTTAGCTCGTGGTCCTGCAAAGGTTAGCTATCTCAGGTAGTTGTTTACTTGCATAGCAATCTGTTTCATGGTAAAACCACAGCCTGATAACCTGTGAAGACCTCTGGTTATTATGTTCACACGTAAACCGCTGACTCAGAAAACAGACGATTGGATGTTTAGAGGTAAAATCTTGTGTTTGTCTCAGGTTTAAAGCATTCAGTCATTCTGTGATTGCAGAGGAACATCACAGACACATGTGGCGGCGCCTCAGTGTGCAGAGGCACCGCCACATGTGTCTGTGGCAGCTAAAGTGAGAACTGAGTGACGCTGGTGATCCACGGGCCTCCTGCAGCCTGATTGTATAGACAGTATGTTTGATGCCACCTAATTTACACAGTGTAGATCCCAGTGCATACATATCCAGTATAAACATATTACACAAGGAAGATGTGAAAGCAGTGTTGAAGCCACACGACACACGGCTGCGTGTTCAAAGGGCCGTGGCTCCGACACGCGTGTCGGAGCCACGGCTGTGCGAACACGCCTGAGACAGACGACATTAGCTCAGTGATCAGTCGTGGACTTGAGTTCCCACTTTAAGAGCTTCCTTCCTGTTTCTCCTTTTAGGTCCAAGACTCGTGACACCAAGGTTCTGATAGAGGACACGGATGATGACTCCTGACATCAGGCCACGCCCCTCGCCTGGGTCCAGAATTTATTCAAAGGAGGAAACTCCACCTCCTAACTGAGGATTTACCCAGAGAGTGGGCGTTGAGCTCCCAACCAGGGATGAGTTTGAAGCTCGTACCTACGTCATCTTGTTTTTCTCTGCTTGGGTTCAGGACTGCTCGGACGGATGAACTCTGACCTCTTAAACAAACAACCCAGCTACGTGTCCAACCTGCTGTCAACACTCCCCGATGGTGGGCTTATCACTTAAACTCTACTTTACCCAGGCAGCCTCCCAGAGGTGGATTCTTAAACTACACCCACTCCTCCACCGCTGCTCGGGCTCTTCTCGAAGCCTCAGCATAGCACGAGTGAAACACCAGTGACATTTTCCATTTCCCAGTGCCGTCTCAGTGCCACACCACTCCCATACAGGGAGAGGCCAACAGTTTAAGCCTGTTGCTGTCCTTTGGCCATCAGCATCCCCCGCTCCCAGCATCCTGGAAACGACTGGGCAGAGGCCTGTAGTAGGTTATGTAGTAGCTGCAGAAATTAGGAACCACCCTGTACTTTGCCCCTCGGAAGGAAAGCAAAAACACCACAGGGGTTAAAACGAGTCCTCCTCAGCAGACGGTGCTGATGGACATCTGGTAACTGTGGCGTCCCCGTGCTGTTCAGCTTGATCACTCAGTCATCACAGAGCTGCCTACCTGCACCTTACATGCTTTAGAAACATGCACTTTGTAGGAGCGTGAGATGGAGGCCCATCATGTCTCGACACACGGACGGTGATTTTAGTGTTTCATCGTTGGTGGACGTGCAACGCTCAGCCATTATTCACTATAAGGAGACAGAAACGTGGCTTTTTCTTTGTACCTGTTGTTGTAAATGTACCACGGACCAAAGTTCAGTGTGTGTGGAAATATTTAGTGAGTGCCACACAGGAAACACACTGTGTAGTGCTGCCGGCTGTTCAGCTGTGGAGAACGACCATCATCCTGTCGTAGTTCCCACTCACCCGCCCCGGGAAATGGTTTGAATGTACATCACATTATTCGTATAGGTGTAGATCTGCCACCTCGTCGGGTTTGAACAAACTTGTGTTGTCCCCTGAAATCGTGATTTGAAAACCTGAAGACTGTTTGAGTAGAAACAGTTGGTTTGTGCAACATGTCGTCTTTGGGCTGGTTCACTGAAATATGAGGGTGGAGACGAAGGCAGAGGTCACCTGTCTGTCATCAGTGTCTGTCTGTCAGCAGGTGGTGTACTGAAACCTGCTTGGCTACGTGTATGCTAACTTGACAGCAAGAAATGCTGCTCTGAAACAAAGTGTGTGCAGCACGAAGCTGTGAGTCTTAAGAAGGAACAGTCTTAGTTGTTGCCTTTTTGACCTTCCTGCAGCAGGGGAGCGATTCCTGGTTTGTGCGCCATCATCAACAGGTCGCACACATCGGTCTGTTTTCACTGCTCGTTTCTGCCTGATGATGTTTCTTAGAGACGGGACAACACTGGAGGAAAGGCTTTCCTAAACGTTGCTCTTCACGTTCCAAAAGTCGTCAGCTCCCTTTTGCTTCGTGCTTGGATGAGATTGCGTCTGACGACAGCTTCGACAAAGTGTTGCTGTCTGTGCTTTCATGAGGCGGCGGTTCGTTTTATGTACTTAGTTTTAATGTTGTGTGCATGCATTTGGAAGTCCTGGCGTGTGATGGCCTAAGACTTGTGTGCACTTTTTTACTTTTCTCTGCGGAGCCTCGTTGTGATGTTTCTGTTCTGCTGTATTTGCCTCCGTACAGACTGCGGCTCTTTCAATCCTCACAATGCATCCAAATACATGTTTGCGTCTTAATGTTTTACATTTGGGAAGTTCTGATTTGGATCCTCAGTTTATTTCTCAGCTGAAATAAGAAGCACGTTAGCGTTAGGCTATCGTCGGATAACAACATTCCCATAGTTTCTGTTTTTTCCTTATTATTGAGCTAAAATAAAGACAAATAGATTCCATAGTATATAAAAGTTTGTACGTCTGATGCTAATTATCATTTATGATCACCATCACACGCTGTCTGAGATTTGTCCACCACATTAAACATGATTCCACTTCCAGTCACCAGATTAAAAAACAGAGCGTGCTCCCTGATTGGTCGGTGAGTGCTTCCTGTTAGCTGTCGTGTTGCTACGTGACTTCCCTGTGATTGCCAGGGTTGCTCGCAGTTTGCCTGGAATATGCTGACTTAGCAGTTTTCTAATTACCTCCGAGCTGTGGGAAGTGTGTCCCGTCTGGAATTGGAGAACTTTTTCCTTCAAAGTAAAAGCTGCGCCTCAACACATTTAAGGTGCAGCTATTACTCTGAAGGTGAACGTTGTGTTTCCAGTCGCACTTTTCACATTATCAGTTCTGCAGGGGGCGTGGCCAACAGGTGTGTGCAGACACGTCAGCATCTTCCATGCAAACTGCAGACTAACAAGCACTACATACCTGTGACCAGGTTCACCAACCAGCTGCTGGTGACCTGATGGTCACCTGACCCGACCGTGCCGTGAGGCTGACGGGCTGTCACCACATGGTCACTTTTTATGAAATGAAACAGTAAAAATGATCTGCAGAGACCATGGCTGTGCTAGCTGTTAGCTTGTGACAGGAGGTGTAATGCTTCAGCCCGACTGACTGATTTTACTGCATCACTTTTAAAATGCCTCCGTGTAGCTGACAGTCCAGGATTGGACCAGGATATGATGCTTCTGTTTCCCAACTACAACATGGAGCTCTGGCAGGTTTGAGTATGTAACAGTGTTCATACTGGCTCTATAAATGTGGAGTCAAACCGACCTGACGGTGCGTTTCCCTACATCCTGTGTCTGCTTTCAGTTTCAGCGAGCGCTCCGGGAGCTCGTCTGCTCATTCCTCACGCACACATTCATGCACTCTAACATTCCCACAGCGACCCTTTGAAAACCTCGTTTCCTGATACGTTTCCAAGCATTTGCCGACTGTAGCTCGAGCTCAGGGTTCATGTCCGTCACCGACACACTGAGCGTGACAGGGTCGTCCTCGGGTAACCATCAGAGAGCAGCACATGTTCGTCCGACACAGTCGCTCCACCCAAAGACGAGTCAGTCCCGTGTTCGTACTGTTACTTTGTAGCTCCTCAGGTTTCACATTGACACACAGATTAAAATACAGTGAAGCCATCGATGCATGAACAGTGTGTTTCACATTGGCAGGAGAGTGGGAGACGCAATGTGATGAAGATTTTGTACTCAGGATATTGTGAGCACACTTGCACCTTAACATGCTAACTCACGAGCAGCTGCGGAGCCCCGACTGCGCGCAGCCCCCCATCACCCCGCGTGCCCTTTCCGTCTGTTTGCCTCCTGTTGTGCATCCAAGTCCAGGACCAAATAACATGTTGTGATGCAGAAAGTCTAAGTTGGGCTTCTTTTCATGTATTTACATTGAATGCATCAGTTGCTTCATGATTTCAGCTGCAGGCTGACTTGGCTGTAGCTTTATTTTACACTCCGTTTTTATAAGCCTGTGAGACTTTAAAAATGTTTGATGTTATGACAGACAGGTGACGCCCTCCACCCTGATGAAGCTGCCCGGCAGTAGAGTGTAGGCCTGGGCCACACTTCACTATGATGTTGGGATTGTCAGAAGCGTGCCACCAAAAGCCAAATCGAATGTTTGATCTAGTTTGTGATTTTCCCCTTTTTTTGTTCACATATTTTAATCCATGTTGAAATTTAAATGTTAATTTTGGTCAAAATGTTTTGGATGACATTATACATTTGATATGTTTCACGGTTCAAATAAAACGTTGTATAGAGACCTGTGTTAATATTTCATACCTCACCAAGTGGGAGAGTCGATAGCCTAGAACGGTGGAATCTGCTGTTTTGGAGAATGTCTGAACCCTCGGTGATTTCCCAACATTTCACACTGGACAGCTGACTCTGAACAACATGTCAGTAAAAGGAGATCAAAGGTCAAAGACTTGAGATTCTGTTGGTTTTCTCCTGGGCAGGAAAATGAGGTTAGCTGGTCACTCTGTCAGGTATTTTCCATCATCTTGGCCAAGAGCTATGTTGTGTTAGGTGTGTTCTTTGACCATATACTGTACATAACAGAAGCATGTAACCTCTACAGTTAGTGAAGCATCACTTCCCCATTCACCCATTTCCTTATCCTCTTGTCCCACCTGGGGGAGGTCCATAACTGGGCTAAAGGTCATTAGCTTAGCAGCCAGATGTCACATGGACCGAGGGGTGATGCACACTCAGACAGTAGTGACTTATAAGTCACACAGTAAGACATGCCTGGATTTCTCTTCCTCCTGGATTCTAATGGAGACCGTGATGAAAAAATGAATCTCGTTTTGTATTCGTCAGTGTGTGAAACTAGCCACTGGGACCATGAACTCATCAGGAAAATGTTTACTGTGGATGTAGCTACAGTGATGTCACACTTTGAGCCAGGAGTTTCTCACTTTTCCTGGGCCATTGGTTTGCAAAAAACCTGAGGCGGGGCTGGGGGGTTCTGATTGTCATCAGCCAATGATAACACACTTTGAAACGTAGTATGACCAAGATTTGCAAACTAAATTTTTTTTTTTTTATTACATTTGACCCAAAAGCAGTGAATGAGATCATAAACTGGGTATGAAGGTGTGTGCAGAGGTGGAGGCCGCCACTTTCCCAGCTCTGGGAGGCTTTTTGCAACCACAGCTATCGCCATCTGGTGGCCTAAAATAGAATGCAAGTTTTTAAGCACTTCTGCTTTAGCTTAATTTTTCTGACACAGATGCCATGCCCAGGTTTTATCTGTCTAATCCCCCTGTGCTGCCAGCGAAGGATCGAGGTTTGTGTGTTTCAGGTCACACTGTATGTCATCTGGACCCAGCATTAGACCAGCACAGAGGATTCTGTCAAGAGCAACACTTTCAACAGAATTGATTGTGATTGGATGCTAAGTTGTAATACTCCTTGAATGAAACGCATGAAGATTTCTGTAGAGGAAGCAGCATGGCTCGTCACTCCCAGGTGTCTTTTTAGCTGCAGTAACAGGTAAACAGGGTTTTTATGAATGAACTTTTGCAAACTCATTTTCCTGCAGCAGCTGAGTTTTCTCTGAGGCATTTATTCTTCAAGCAGCGGGATCTTATTTTTCTCAAAACCTTTCAACAGTTTGGTAACACTCCAGTCTGCGTGGAACCCTTACTGGCCGGTTCTGTTAGATCCATTATCATCCTCCAAGAATCTCCACACCAATGGGTCCGCAGCATGGAACATTGCACAGGACAAAGATCGAGGGACACATTTGAATGTATTTTTACACCAAAAACGTGCATTTTTTGGTGTGATTGGTTAAAATGTGGAGTGATCTGAGACACTAACCTTCTAAATGTGGCACATGAAGAAGGTTGGCTCGAACTATCTTGGAGACCATATGGATGAAATAAGATTTACACAGGAATAAAGCCCTAATCGGGCTCATCCCCAACTACCAAAACAAGTGTGGGTTTTTGTTTGTTTTTTTACAACTGTAAACACTTTTAATTTGCATTGTGACCCAGAACCATTTGGTTTTACATTATATATGGATGAACATACTCATTAGAAGCATTGTATAATCAAAGACTGATCTGTGAGTGTTGTCTTGTATGTACAGTAGTAGCGTAATGCTACAGGGGCACCTGGTTCACCAACTCCTGTTACACGTTTTTCAGTAAAATGAGCTAAAGCTGTAACTTGTTTCTGACTGCAGATCTTTTTCTTCCTCACATTTCAGTCTCCTTCACCCCTGAGCCTTCCTGGCTGAAACAGAACCACCACACGGCCACAGACCAAATCTAAGTTTAGATTGTGTCGGCAGGTTAAGATACAGCGAGTTACAGTAATCCAGCTGAGATGTAACCAGGCATTGATGTTAGTTTAAGTTATTTTTAGAAATGAGCTACAATGGTTGCAAAGATTTCTGATTTGATTTCTAAAGGCACTATCAACATGAAATTATCACCACATGTCAGTAACAATCCATCCAATCCACACATGCAAAGAAATCAAACCATAGATATCCATAAATTATGTGCAATAACGAGAAATGACACAGGGAACAAGTATTGAACATCCATCCATCTTCCGCTTATCTGGGACCGGGTCACGGGGCCAGCAGCCTAAGCAGAGAAGCCCAGACCTCCCTCTCCCCAGATCAAATGTCCCGTCGCAATGGGCCAGACAGCCCATACTCCCGCAGCACCTCCCACAGGACACCCCGAGGGACACGGTCGAATGCCTTCTCCAAGTCCACAAACACATGTAGACTGGTTGGGCAAACTCCCATGCACCCTCAAGCATCCTCGAGAGGATAAAGAGCTGGTCCAGTGTTCCACGACCAGGACGAAAACCGCATTGTTCCTTCTGTATCTGAGGTTCGACTAGCGGACGAACTCTCCTTTCCAGCACTCTGGCACAAACTTTCCCAGGGAGGCTGAGGTGTGTGATCCCCCTGTAGTTGGAACACCCACTCGGTCACCTTTCTTAAAGATGGGAACCACCACCCCGGTCTGCCAATCCAGAGGTACTGCCCCTGAGCTGCACACAACATTGTAGAGGCGTGCCAACAAGCCTGATAAGACTCCTTCTTCAGCCTGGTGACTCCCTCACCTCTGGTGTCCACCATTTGGTTCAGGGATTACCACCATGACAGGCACCAACCACCTTGCAGCCGCAGCTCAGTGCAGCGGCTTCAGCAATGGAGATGCTGAATATGGTCCATTCGGACTCTATGTCCGTCTCCCTGTTGTTGAATCTCTGCCGGAGGTGTGCATTGAAGATCTCATGGACTGGGGCCTCTGCCAGGCGTTTCCAGTGCACCCTCATTACACGTTTAGGCGCCAGGTCTTTCCAGCATCCTCCCCCGCCACCTGATCCAACTCACCACCAGGTGGTGATCAGTTGACAGCTCAGCCCCTCTCTTTACCCGAGTGTCCAGAACATATGGTCGCAGGTCAGGTGATACGATTACAAAATCGATCATCGACCTACGGCCTAGAGCGTCCTGGTTTCATGTGCACTTATGGACACTCTTATGTTCGAACAAGGTGTTTGTTATGGCCAAACTGTTGTTTGCACAGAAGTCCAATAACAAAACACAGCTTGGGGTCAGATCTGAGAGGCCTTTCCTCCCAATCACGCCCCTCCAGTTCTCACTGTCATTGCCCACATGAGCACTGAAGTCTCACAGTTGGACAACAGAGTCCCCAGGTGGAGCACCTTCCAGCACCTTGCCCAGGGACTCCAAGAAGTCTGGGTACTCTGAGGTGCCACTCGGCGCATAAGCGCAAATGACAGTAAGAACCCGTTCCCCAACCCGAGCACTGAGGTGAGCCCGACGTTTTCTAGCCGGTACCTCTCAACCTCAAGCACTAACTCAGGCTCCTTCCCCAAAAGTGAGGTGAAATTTCATGTCCCAGTTGCTAGTCTTGGTAGCCGGGGTTTGGTCTGCCAGGGTCTCTGTTCCTGGCTGCTGCTCGGCACACAATGCACCCAACCACTATAGCGCCTCCTGGGGGTGGTGGGCCTGCAGGAGACCCATGTCCCCTTTTTCGGGCTATTCCTCCATGGACTAAGGTCCGGCCCCCAGACGCTTGCCCTCGGGGACTCTCCCCAGGCCTGGCTCATGGGCGGGGCCCCGGTAACCCTACCCTGGGCAGGGTGAACTGTTCCCTTGGTGTCCTACTCATAGGGGTCTTCTGAATCGCTCTTTGTCTGGTCCCTCACTAGGACCAATTTGCCATGGGAGACCCTGACGGGGCAGAAGCCCCCAGACGACATAGCCCTGGGATCCCTGGAACACACAAACCCCTCCACCACAATAAGGTAGCGATTCATGGAGGGAATGAACATGTTTACTGAAATGGATTCAATACGTCGTACAAAAGTGTTTGTTGGCTTCAATACGCCTGCTGTATGCAGAAACTAGTCACAGTGACAGGTGTGATTTTACCCGTGCTGCCACACAGTCCAGAAGGTTCCGGGTCATTCTAGCAGCTTTGGTTTGTCTCTCTGAAACTAACCGAGTTTGTTGGCTGTGTTTGGCATCACTGTCCCCTCGTTTCATCTTCATCATCCTGGTAGGTGGCAGCAGGTTTTTATCAAGACTCTCAGGACATTTTTCCACTCATCCTTTAATTATTTGAATCACAGTGCTGTATGCTGAAAAACAGCCCCACGTCACGATGTTCCCACCTGTTGGTTTGGTGTTTTTGGGGTGATGTGCACTGCTTTTCACCTCCAAACATGGGGTGTATTCTGGCATCCAAAGAGTTCAGTTTTGGTCTCATGTGACCAGACTCTACTCTCCCAGTGTTTCACAGGCTTGTCTAAATGTTGTTAAGCAAACTTTAAATGTACTTGCCTGTGATTTGGGATTTTCATGTGTGGATTGGATGGGTTGTTACTGACACGTGGTGAAAATTTCACATCAATAGCACCTTTGGAAATAGATTTGCTTCGAAAGTTGGTGACTTGTTCAAAACTCATTTTACCTGCTGTATTGATAGTTCATATTACAGGATTTATAAAGAACAATAAAGAACTGAGCACTGAGAAACTCCATGTCAACTGGACAGTGGATGAAGTGCAAATGCCCCCGACAGTTTCAGGCTGTAATGATATGTCCACCCGATACTTAGACACCCAGGGTAAAAACACATGGGCAGCCATAGCAAAGCTAAAGGAGATGATCAAAATAGCTCCATCACTCAATATCATGAGTGTGTTCTTTTCTAATGTGGGGGAAAGATAATGACAGAATGAGAAATACTTTTG